CCATAATATATATTCCAGTTACTTTCAAGTTTTAATGGATTTTGATTGTCGCATTGAATTAATAATGAATTTAGTTAGTTAGTTATCCTATGTTTTTCAGAAGTCCTTTAAGATAAATGGCTTCCTTGTTTGTTTCTGAAAGAATTATATATTCGGCCTCAGTACTAAATAGAGTTATTGTCCTTTACTTTCGAGCTTCCTATTTGATGACTGTTTCACACAATTTAAAAACATATCCTGTATATGATTATGAACACAACTGCTTCAATCAGAATTAACGTAACTCTGAAGATCTTCTTTTCAAAGATTAAATCGTTCTCAATTATGACTTAAGATATCTGAGAATTCGTTTGGCTACTGACGAATAACTAAAGTCATATCAATCATTAAACTGGCTCTGTATATTCATTGAAAATATGATATCCGGCCGAATGCACATTGATAGATACATCAAAGAGCCTATCAATTATCTATATGAATATCTTCTATATCTATATCAATTTCTTTCGGCTTATCTAATCTTTTCTTGTTCAATTCTTGTTCAATGGTACAAATATAGGATTTAAATCTTGCATACCAAAACGATTTAATAACTCTTCAATATATGCCTTTTGAGACATAGTTATCTTTCCTGAAGTTTAAGTGAAATTAATATCCAAACAACGGTTAATGCCGTCTAAATCTTTAATATCAAATTTATTCATTTCTTTTTATCTCTGATATCTAATTTAAATCTTGAGGCATTATAAAAATGTCATTAACATATATCATTATAATCATTAGATTGTTATCTCTCTTGGCAACAATTGATTGGCATAACAACTGATTTTGATGCATTTTTCATCTTCTTCAGAGCTTCATCTCAAAAATCTTATTCTATTGATGTTCAATTTATCGTAAACTTTTTTTTTAATAGGCATATCTTTTTTTTGTTCAAAGCTTTAAATTGTTTTTGAACTTTAGTTTGCAACTGACTCTCATTATCATGATCAATACGCCTTAAAGTTTCTTTAAAATCTGATGGTAATTCCATAAAAATAGTTTCAGTTTAATTCTCTATTCAAAAAGACAATATACACATTTAATTGTTGTATATAAAACTCTTTTTGCTAATGCCATCATTGCACATATACACGAATGGAATTCATATATACAATTAAAGAAAATACTTAGTTAAAGGTAAAGTCGATGCTTTCTTCTTGGAAATTGTTACAAATTTAGTCTTTTTACTCTCGCCCGTTTTATATTTATTTATAATATATTTATAATATATTTATTATTATTTATATTATTTATTATATATATATGTCCAAAAGAACATTTATGTCCAAAAGATTTGAAGTATAATAAGATTGCATACTTTCCATTTTCTATATGCAATGTTCTCGTTCAAAAACATCGATTTCTAATATAGATATTGACTGCCTCTGTCTAAAAAATGTAAATCTGATTCTAGCAACAAATACGTCGCAGTCTCAATTAAAGTTCTGTTTTTTTTTTTCTGTGATACCATTTTGTTGGGGTGAATATATTTAATCTTCTCTTAATTCTAATAGACTTTAGATAATTATCAAATTCTGCATCATAATATTCCGTTTGTATATATATATAACTAATAATTATTGTCTGTTTGTATATATATGTTTTCCTAATAAATTTCCAATCATTATCTTATATTTTTTAAAAACAATAAATACTTCATCCTTCAAAAATTTAATTTCACATTATCGAGTAAAATCATCAATGAAAGTTGTAATATATTTAATTTCTCCATTTGATTGTACTTTCATTGAACTATATAAATCCATATTATTTCCAAAGGAATCGTATTCCTTATAGATCTTTTTGAAAAGAGGATCATTTTTCCTCTCAAACAGATTTCACATTTTTTTTCATTCAAAAAATTTAACACCAATAGCATTTTTATTTTTAACTAAATTTTTAAAACTTCGCTAATTCAAATAATCAAGATATCTGTTTATATATATAACTAATGTAACTAAACTTGAATCTTCTGAAGTAGTAATTTTATTGACAACTTCTCTATTTTCTCAAAAATAATATAAATTATTTATTTTTTTAGCTTATAGCTTATAACTTATATCTTATCATAAAATATCTTAACTTTATCTAAAATTGACGCCTTATTTTTTTGAAAAATTATTATCATATCTTGATCTGCAATTTTGGCTAGAAAAAGTAAATTAGTTCTTAAATTTGAAACAAATAAAGCATTATGTAAATTAACAACTTGGTGAATTTCACCATTCTTAAATATAGCTTTAATATTTTCTATATCTTTAATATTAATGCAAGCACTAGTAGCAATATTTTATATTTATTTATTAATTATTTTGATTTGTATCTAAATCAGAAAATCTCTTTTCATCAGAATATAGGTAATATACATAGGTATAATAAAATAAATAAAGTGCAGCCACTATCTAAACACCAAGTGCGAATCTGATTTTTTTTCCCAATATTAATTGCAGATTTTTTTATATTATATACTGCAGCAAGCAAATTCATCTTCTTGTTTCTATTATTCTTATGCGAATACGAATAAATATTATTTCTTTAATATAGTCACTCATTTTATGATTATATTTTTGACATTTAAAAAATTTAAAACATTAACAAACTCTTATTATTATTTACATTATCTTTATAGTCTTTCCTCTGTGAAGAAACATAGCATTTGATATACTATCTTTTGATTTTTCTTTGAATTTAAATCTTTATCTTAAAAAAATTTTATCTTAAAACAATTTATATTTGATAAATTATCTCTAGATTGTATAATATACTTAAAAACTTGAAAATTTTCTGGTAACCTTATTAAAAGCAAATACGATAATAATTCCTTATTTATTTCAATATCTATCTTATGTAACTTATCAATCATTTCAAAAAAGTCATTCATTTGTACTCTATTATCACTCTCTTGCATTCTATGTAAAACAAATCTATCAAATAAAGCAGTCTTTCTGACAGAATTTTTTGATCAATAAATTTCTTCTAACTTTTTCTAAATTTTATGAGATGTCCGTAAATTTTTTTATTTGCCTGAGCAGAAAGATTTATTGTCAAATCAACAAATCAACCTTTGCCATGGATCAACCAAATTTCATGAGAGGCTTCATCATTCTATAAGATCTGGTTTCAGACATTTACCAGAGACATATTTCTATTTTTTGTTAACCATGCTTCTATATATATGGATTTTCCAAGTTTCATAATTATTTTTCAATAATGCTTCTATTCTGTGTATTCCTGATGCTAAATCCATTTTTTTTTATTATAACGAGCACGAAAAAAGTGAAAAAAAAATTTAACTTCACTTTTTTTTAAAGAAAAAAAAAAAGAATGCAAAATCTACACAAGTCATGGGCCCCATAATTAATTAATCTATTAAAGAGCATAGGATGTAGGAAATGTACATAATATATATATACATAATATGCAATCAATTAATTAATGAAATAATGAAAATAATTTTTATTAGAGCAAACACGCGGGAGTTTACATTCATATCGCATGAAAAGAAAAAAAAAAGATTAAGTATATCTAATAAATATATTATATTATTAAGTATATTTTATAAATATTTATAAGTATTTATAATATATATAATATATATTTTATAAGTATTTATAAGTATATTATAATATATAAATATATTATAATAATAAGTATATTATAATAAGTATATTATAATTTAGCATTGTATATAGGGTATGCGAATTACATTAAAAAGCAATATTTTCAACATTTTCTCATACGGAAATATTGTTATATTTTTCAGAAATTGTGTCTATATGAAATAAAAATATGGTTAAAGCATTGTTTTGATTTAGTGAGAAAATCAGAATAAAGTATTGTATGATCTAATTATCCTATTGAAACGAAATTTTATGTAGGGGGGGGGGGGGGAGATAAAATGATCTTAAATATGAAATTTTAATTACAAATATTTATTAGAAATGTTAATAAAAATTTGTTGTTATATTAAGTGATTCCTGTCTATATATATATATATATAATTCGTGTATGTGTCAGGAGATCGCAGTTTATTAATTTTATAATCATTTTATGATCATCAATTGTCATATTAACTCTCTATTACATAAATTTTTTTGTGAGTTAAAAATATGATGAGTTAAAAAAAATATATATGGCTGTTAGTTTATTTAAAAATGAATGTGATCATGAAATAATAAAATTTTATTAGAAAATGTTATTTATTTTATGACCCTGTATGGAAATTTTATACATATGCAAATACAAAATCAATCAAATAGAAAAAAAAAAAAACAAAATCTCTATGTGTGAATCTATCACATATAATAACCTTATTTTATATAAAAATCACGAAAACAATTTTTTTCAATATAGAAATACAAATATATGTGACATTTCTCGTACATAATTTTTGATTTATACTTGCATCGTATTACCTTACACCTTTGCCTATTCTCAGTTCACAGAGGCCAATGTGCAATGTGATCAGTTTGTACATCCAAAAATGGTCGCGATTTTTTACATTATCTTTTCTGGATAAATTTATCTATATCACTGCTTTTAGATCCGTCCCTTTTTATAGAACTTTGGATACTTATATTACATAAAGTTTTTACCAAAAACTGTTTGAATTAGAATAAGAGAGCAAAAATTTTGTTCTTCTGCTCGAGCTGCTTTTTATTTTCTTAGTTAGCCATTTACTACTATCTATCATATCTATCTATCATATGGTAAAATATTTTATGATATCATTTTTTATTTTTTAGGTTCCAGCAGGGAATACTAGATTTACACCTTCACATATTGTGATTATATTCTATTACAATATTTGAACATTCTATTTCTTTGTTTGTTTTCCGATTTAAAGAATCGGTTTGCCATCACAGATTTCGACAGTAAATTGAGGCAAGTGTTACAATTTTATTGCCGTACCATTGATGGCGTAAATCTTTACGTTATCTACTATAGCCCTATTTTTTTTATCTTGTTTTTTCATATCTTTCTGATTGACCAGAAAACTCATGTAGTTGATTTATTTTCAGGATAACAATTTCAACTATAACTAACTTGCAACAACTAGTTGCAACACTCTGAATCCCTAGATTACGTAAATATGCCATAAAATTAGAAAAATAGTTATCATAAAATACTTTATGATTGATATTCCTTGGAATAATTTTACACATTCGCATTACTATGTTGCTAGCTACGCCTAAGTTTGGTTTTCCAGATACTTCTTCGGAACTGATTTGATTATTGCTATTTCAAAATTATACAATAAACTAGATAGCCTGAAACCTCACCTGAAAGCACTCACATTTTATATCCTCGTTTTTTTGGATTATAGATTTTCAGGCTTATCCTTCTTTTGAAAGCTATAGTCTGTTCATCACAAAATAAACTTGGAAAAATTAGAATTTTCTTATTTGTTCCAACTAGTAAGAATTTTTTACTTATTTCAATATTGGTAATATTTCACAAAGCTTAGACATATTCTCCATATTGTTAGAAAAATGCAAATTCTTTTCAGTTTCTCAAAACGATTATAGATCATAATGTGTCTGCTATTTGGGAAATTTTTGTGCTTGGAATCAAATTCGTGTAGTGATTGTGTAATAATCGAATAAGCGACATCCAAATAATAATAATACCTATAAATCTTTGAAGTTCTTTAGAAGTTAGTGGCATATTTGGAGAAATTTGCACACTGATTGTCAGGAGATCTCAATAAAAAATTCATTAAAAAAAAAAAAACAGAATAATTTGTAAGGAATATTTAGTTCAAAATTTCAATGGTAATAGAATATTTCTTAAAAAGTTTATCTCATCTTTTGTAGTCCTGCTTGCTTTCCAGAATATTTTCTCTCTAGTTTTTTTGCTTTGGAAGATGGGAATAACTGTTGCAAAGAAATATCATCTTCACTGTTATAATCAGTAGTTTATTGGTTTTATTACTTCTTCCTTTCCATTGCCAAATTTCAAAATTTCATCTTCTAGTTCTGAATCATCACTATCCGACAGTATATCTCATGATTGATTCTAACAGCATTCTTATTTTTTCCATAAAACATTGATGGATGCATCCCTGTATTTTGCATTCATGCGAGAACACTTTGAAATTTAAATCCTCAATTGGAAACGGAATGTAATAAATTAAATGTATGTATGTTTATATATAAATAAGTATATATATATAAAAGTTTATAAAAATATAGAATTGAAGAGTAAATTCTAGATGAAAAAAAAAAAATTCATATATATTCGATAAAATTTCATTAACAAATTATAAGCATTTTAATTTTGAAGAATAAAACACTGAAGCACTCAATTGAATGCATCGTAATATGGTATCGTTATGTTACTCAATAAATAATTAATTTTTTAATATCTTTTTATATGTATTACTATATTATATGTATTACAAATAATTATTTTTTAATATCAATATAATTTAATATGCAATATATATAACTAATAAAGATATAGAAAAGAAGAATTTTATTATTTTTAATTATGCAAATTGAAATTTATGTAATTTGTTTTTATTAAGTCTTATCTAAACAAATTATAATAAATTCCATAACATTCGGTATTATATAATGATTTGATTTAAAATAATAGTCATATATAGGATATTATTATATATTATTATATTATATTATATTATATATTATATTATATATTATATTATTATATATTACATTCAATTTGTTTAAATCCATAGAGGCAAAAGATTCTTATAAGATTTTGGATTGGAAAGAATGTATTTTCCTATTATTTTTTATTTGTAAAAATTAAATAGATATAATATACAATTGAATTTTTCTTTTTATTTCATATTCAATTTTTTTTATTATCATTTTTAATGCAAGCAAAAATTATTTAATAACACGAATTTATTTAATAACATTGAATTGACGAAATATTATGAATATGTCAGAATATGTTAGAAATCATTATTTCTATTTCTATCATTTCATGAGATTTTTATTGTATCTTATAAAAATAAATTTAATATATAATATAAAATATCGATATGCATGTTTATTAATCTGTTCATCGTTCGAAAATAATTCTTCACACAAAAACTGTTTTTAATGATAATTTAATTTCGAAATATAAATAAACTTATATTATATTATTATAATTGTAATATAGAATGTTAATAAAAATAATTATAATATGGAATGCTAATTAAATGACTTGAACGGAATAAAATTTAATAAAAAATTTGAAAAAGAATATACAAGACTTATCATTATAAAAATATTTTTTTAATTAATTTGCTATTCTAAAATTTTTTACTTCATTTTTTTTTTCATTTTTATATTGTTTCTTTCATACACATACGTATTCATATATTCTATTATTCTCATCATAATAATTCTCTCAATATGAAATTTTTTAATTAGTCATTTATTTATACAATATTTCTTATAAAAATGTGATTCATGTTCATATTAAAAATTACAAGTATAATTTTTAAGAATTATTTATAATTATATTTATTTATTTTTTGGCATACTTTCAATAGTTTAGAATTATTTATATTAATTACTATTATATATATTATTATAATAATTATTTAGAATTGTGCATTCACATTATAGCATATTATTATGAATTATATTTTTGAATTTTAGTTAATAGTTAATATAATTAACTATTATAATTTTAGTTAAATGTTAAGAAATAATATTAATGTTGAATTTAAAAAAAAATAAATTTAAAAAAAAAAAAGAAAGCAAGAAAGCAAGATATATTGACACAGTCTTTGTTATCAAGATATTTTTTTCAATAAATTTTTTACATATTTTTATAATTTTTCACACTTTCATATATTTTTATCAAAACAAAATATTATTTTATAAATAAAAATATTGTCTATATAAATCGAGAAAGCAATAAAAAATATAAAAATAAAGTATTAAGAAAAGATATTATTTATAATTAATTTTATTTTCTTTTATTAAATTTTCTTTTATTTAATCTTTTATTTAAACAATAAAAAAATTAAGTTTTTTATTGTAATCTTTATATTTTTAATATAATTTTAATATATGTATTATTATAATACAAAAAATGACGCATGATTGAAATTTAAGAAAAAGGAAATGAAAATCATTACGAGCAAGGAACATATATAGTTTATTTTTTATCTCGTCGAACGAAAAAAACATTTCGATTGTTGATAAAAAATTAGTACATGATATTCAATATTTTTATTTCTTTTGGTTTTCGGTATATTTTTTGAAAAAATATTTTTTATGATCTTTTTAAATACAACATTAATGCAAAATTTCTTATGAAACTTGAGAAAAAAAAATTGTAGCAGTTGATGTATGAAAATAACCTAAAAAAAAAAAATGTATGAAGATAACTATAAAGCAAGCAATTATTTATCAAAGGACGATATTGAAAATAAAACGCGAAGTGACAATAATTCTGAAAATTTCAAGAAGAATCACAAGAAGATTTCTAACATTGCTCTGAGCAATGGAAACATCAATGGAGTAATGTATAAATATATTTTTGAAAGTGAGTTATTTATTAGAAAAGAATACTATTGATTTGAAAAAAAATTGAACCAGTAAATTTTGCTGATATAATTCTATGAACTTTTTTAATGAAATAATAATAATAATATAATTTGATATATCATATAATAAAATAATTTGATAATGTCATAAAAGATCGATCAAATTTATGCTATCTTGATAATAAAAGTAGATGAAATGTGTAATTAAAATTAATTAGAATTGATATTGTAATGAGACTTAAATCTCTACTGTTTTAACATAATTTGAAAGATTCAGAAATTAAAGATCGATCAAATCCTTGTCAGTTTGAGATCAGAGGAGTTAAAATAAATAAAAACTTTATAAATATCAAGTATCTACCCTCTTTTTCTATATAACTCGGAAAAGAGGATTATCAAAAAAATATTTATTGGAAAACAGTTAATTTAAAAAACTATAATTCTCGTTTGTTTGGTTCGGTTATTATTTTAATTATTACGTCATATTAATAAGAATCAAAGCCGTCTAATATTTGCGATAAATATTTTATATCGATAATATATATCTATGATTGGTGCCGAAGATTAAAATCACATCATGAAGTATATGAAATCGAATATTATATCAGTAATATCATTTATATTTGTAGGAAAATTTTAATAAATTAGATTATTTAATCAATGATTTTTTTATAGTAATTAAAAATAATTTTATAGTAATTTGTAAATATATATCATTATATATATATATAATGCTTCTTTGTTTGCAAATATCATAAAAGTGTGGAGTGAGACGTCATTTGCTTTCAAAGTAAATAATAATTGCGAAATTTTTTATTGAGTTTATTATTTTTTGCGTGCTTTACGCAATTCGCACATTATTTATAAATCTTTACATTTTTAGAATATATAGCTGGTTCTTTCTCATTATGCAAATCATTTTAAAGTTGTTAAAAACGTCTCAATTGTTAAGTTAATATATAGAGTGATAATAATTTTTTATGATAATGCCGATATAATGGTAAAACAATGAAATGTTTGACATCTTGTCGATAATCGCGTGTGTGATCCCTCTACGCGAGGAAGTCTTTATTGTTATGAAAAAGAGTGATCGTAATCTATTTTTATACAGAATATTTAGATTTATTATGATTGGAATATCATTTGCGAATTTGCTGTGAATAATTTTTCAGAATGCAATATAAGATTGATTTGATTTCACTAATGATTAGTCATTTATCGTTTGGTAAATTGAATTATATTATATATTGTATGATTATAATATATATTATATTATATATTATATTATATATTATGGAATCAGAAACAATAATGAAAATGATGGAAATCATTTAAATATTTCGTATCGGTTGTTTAATATTATTATAATATATTTATTGTGTGTATTATATATGTATGACATATTATTATGTGTAATTTTATTATATTTATTTTCATTCATACTTTTGTGAATTAAAATGTGTTAAAAATCAGAATACGATATGCTACTGTTATTTAATTCTGTGAGATCCATATTGGTACCAGAATTAGTTTTTTTATTCTACTGGTAATAGTGATATGAAAATGATAATAGGATTTTAAAATCCCAAGAATCTGAAAAAAATATATATTTCATATTTGATCTATTCTTACTAACTTGTATCACGTTTCATTATTTTCTATGTTTTTTTATTATTTTCTATTTCAATTGCTTATATATTGCTTTAATATTGTTTTAATA